CATAAGGACCAATTTAAAAATAGTCTAGAAATTTCCCCATTAACAAACACAACACTGATATTCTGTCTTTATCTTCACTGGCATCGTCTTCTGTATATTTTATCCTCTGCATTTTTGTGTGAAGCACTCCTCTGCTTCTGTCTTCTAGAAATGTCTAACAAAATTAAAATACTTAAGGCTCTCTTAAAAAGTCGAGTAGACTCTTCACATGTCAAAATCCTGAATTTAATTTCATATGAAGTCATTTTTAAAAACAAGACAATATTTACATATCCAAGGTCTTATCACTTGATATCTTCAGGTATTCCCTAGTCACTGTGTTGTAACATTGTTTTCATGTCACTGGGCTTAACGTGAGACAAAGAAATGTTAAGATAAATTTCCAGGGGTCCTATTGATAGAGTTAATAGATGGGGTAGCTTCATATCAGACTCAAAGAACACCAAATTTCTTTCTTCCTTAATATGTTAATTTTGTTTGTAAATTCTGATCAAGTGTGAAAAAAATAGAGTACTCACCTTTAGTAACAATTGAATTGTTTAAGAACTTAACTTGTAGGAAATTCTTTCTTGCATTCAACACAGATCTCTCATGCAATTCAAGTTGATCTCCTTCTCTCTGTCTTGAAGATGGAGTTAACCAGGGTGAGCAATGCATCTTCTTTGTTTTAAAGTCAGTTCCTGGAGTTTTCACTGTAATTCATTTATGTCTAAAACATATTTTTAATCTGTGGGAGACAGTTCAGTAAAACATTCTAAAGCATTGGCTGCTATCCTGGATTTGAAATTCTTCAGATTTAAGTGAGAGCTCCTGCTCTATTAGATTAGCATACAATAAAATACCTAAAATAGAAAACATATTACTCCTAAAGCAGGCATGCTTTTTCTATGCATTCTTTTTATTGTCTTCAAATGAGCAATTTAAAAGATCATTTTAGTTGACCAAGAGAAAGTAGTATTGTGCTGTCCCTAGACCTCTTCTGGGTTCTTCTGAGTTTCCTCCATGACTTTGACACTGTTGATGCTCTCTGAAATTAGAGGTCAATTAGAAGATCAGCAGTGAAATGGAGACTAACAGGATCACCATCCCCACAACCACATACTTGTGTGAGCACTTTATGCCTCTTGCTTGCTTTACTGTTTTTACCTTCAAAATGACTTTTTTTTTTTTTGTTTTTTGAGACAAGGTTTCTCTGTGGCTTTGGAGGCTGTCCTGGAACTCACTCTATAGACCAGGCTGGCCTCGAACTCACAGAGATCCGCCTGCCTCTGCCTCCCGAGTGCTGGGATTAAAGGCGTGCGCCACCAACGCCCGGCTTCAAAATGACTTTTAAATAAGTTGCCTTTTGTAATTTTGAGAACCTTGGGGTTTCAATTTATGGTAAAATTAGACACGGGGGTTTATAATCTCAAATCAGCAATTTTGGTCTGCTTGGACACGTAAGAGCCATTGCATGAAGATAGCTTGTTTGTTGCAAGGAACATCTATGATTTACAGAAAACCATTGCTTTTAACCACTTTTTTTCTGTCATTTTGGAAAGGTCCTGACCATTCTGGGACTTGACTATTTATGGGCAGAGGTCCCCTTTCTGGGAAGAGCTTGTGATAACTTTCTTGGAAGATTCCATAACTAAATGTAGCTCTGTTACTGATGGAGAGGCCTCCTCTCCCTGGGGCACTGAGCAGATATTAGGCATTGTTGAAGTACTGTAATATCACTGTTAGGGTTAATGATGAGTTCTTTTGATTTCGATTGTGAGCACCCTGATGTCCAGTTTGCTATAAACAGAGGCATTTGGCACACAACGGTTTATCTCCCTCAAAAGCAGCTATTAGAATCTTCTTTGCTGCCCTGAGTAAAAGGTCTATCAGCCCCACAGTCAGCAGGACAAGCCTGTGCCAGCACCAGCCACCATGAACACAGCCCTGACACCTTGAGACAACTATGCCAAGACTGAATACATGACTCCCAAAGGTGTAGCCTGAGTCAGGGCTGCTTAAACAGTTTGTACCAGACATTTGCTATTATAAACAAGCCTCGGTGAACTCTAGCTGACTCTGTGTCCACTTTGGTCAGCGTCTACCTTGGCCAGAATGGAAGCATGACCCTGATGGAGAGACTGATGCTAAGGTGCATGGCTATGATTGGCCCAGAGAAATGGTTGTAATGGTCCAAAACAAATGGCTGTGATTGGCCAAAGCATCCCCTTTTAGGCTAGGCAGGCTGGCTGCACAGGCTCACTCAGAGTCATCTGAGAAGCACCGCTGTGCTGCAGGGTTAACTTCGTAAGGCTACTTTCAGGTTCTCCCCTTTTGCCAACTTTCAGTAACATGATCTGAGCTGGATCAGGAAGAAACAGGAGACAACAGAAAGTGGAGGTGACAGCAACAACCCTGAAGACAAGGATGGCGACCAAGAGGCAGCAGGAACAGCAGCTTCTGCTTGACAGCCCAAGAGATAACCAGTGGCTGTGGCAGCTTGAACTGGCTTCTGAGTGACAATGGTGGGCTCCTGGACAGTACAGCGTGCATCCAGCATCTGGTATCTGGATGAGCTGTGAGCCTCCACCTACCAGTACAGTCTGCTGACAATCTCTTCTAGGCAGCTGAAGTAGCAGTGGAAGCTTTAGCATAGTTACCTAAACACAGAAGAAGTGGCCACATGGTGGTGGAAGCTGTCTGCCAGGAGCAGCCAAAGACCGGGGCCCAGACATCCAGCAAAGGGCACCCATACTTGTTGATCCTGACCGTATCTAGACCTGATTCCTGGGTACCGAGCATTGGGTATATACTCTGACTCCCATCCTGGCTTTGTTCTGTAGTACCCACGAGTTCCATGTTGCCTCCCTCAGCTCTTACTGGACAGAACTAAGACAACACATGCGCTGTGAAAATGTCATTATCACTGATTACAAAAACTGCCTATTCTCATAGCAAAAAGAAATACAGTCTTTATCCTCAGAAATTTTCCTGGTGCCTTATTATTATGTTTTAAACGAGACTGTTCTGCATTGATTTTGGCTTCAGGCCACAGATACTCACAGGCAGGGGTTCCTTCTATTGCTTTTATAAAGGGCACTACGGATACTACCTTGTTTATGGCAAATGCAGTTTATATGATGGATGTTGAATGAACAGCAAAACAAATAATGTTTTCAAAATGAGTGTTTTTGGCCTGGACATCATTACTAGAGGAGGAAAAACTTTCTCTGAGTTGTTCAGCTTTTATGAGAGTCTCGTTCTTCTAGCTCATTTTTTTTTCATATGTGTTGGGGCAGCCTTTTCTGAGACACTGAGTGGAAACTTTGGCTCGTAAAGAATAGGAATTCTTTCCTTCGCTTGTTAGATATGTTTATGAAGTAAAATTATTTGTTGGGCTGTTAGCTTTCACTACATATAACATATAACTGAGTTAATTTGAGACATGAACTTAAATAGCACTTGGGTGATTGCCCAGGTGTGAAGAATCCTTTGGGATTAGGGTAGATGACACTGAATTCACAATAAACTTTGTCAGCTAAAAGGGGCCTTTAATTCCTTGGGACACATTCCTAAGTCTGGTTAGTAACTATTTCATTCTGTTGATAAACACTTCAACAGATTCAGAGGTTAAGCTTGAAAAACAACACCCCAAATTTAGCACTCTTTATCTTAACTCGGATTGCATCTATTATACATTTGTCCAAAGCAGTAACTTGCTTCTTCATAACTTCACAAAGTATAAAATTCCCTCATAAAAAGCTTCTTGAATAACAGATGAAGTTTTCATGTGAACTCTGTCCTTATTCAAGAAACAAGAAAACGAAAATGACAATGGGGACAGAATTCATTCCTGAATTTCTTATTGTATATGATTTTGTTTTCTATTTTTATCACTATATGTGCTTTTTATTCTTCTGATCAGAAATAATTTGTTATTTTGACTGTTATTAATTTGTTTTTATTTCATTTTTATGAGTATTTTTTTAAAAACTATCAAAGGGTCATACTGGAGACTTGTATTATGTTAATCTAGTTTCCATGAATTCTAATATCTGTGCTCTTCTAGAGCCATAGTTTCTGGGTAGAAAAATTATTAAAAGAGAGAAAGAAAAAAGAAAGAAAAAGTTGTAGAGTCAGGTAGCACGTGAGTAAGTCTAAGTGTGGAAAGCGTAGAACTCAGTGTGAATAGAGGTGATAACCTTTCCTGTGGCAGGCTCAGCAAAGTTTCTGTAGACAGCTGAGGAGATGACAGAGGCAGCAGTATACACATGGGTAGCGGAGAGTGTACCAGGGAAATCCTAAGAGGAAGCCAGGTGTGAGGATGGAAAACAACAGAGTTCCATAGTAGCAAGAGTAGTTGAGGCTACAGCGATTGCGGTGGGTAAAAAGTTTAGGTAATGACAGGGGAAAGCTAGACTTCTGTCACATGCATGTGATACTTCTCTTCTGATCCTTGTTTTGAAGAGATGTGTCAGAGGATTCCAATGCATAGACTCAAACACAGAAAGAATCTTGGGTGACTCATCACATGACTCTCCTTTGCTCTTCAGGAAATGTCCAGTTTGCTGTGTAGAGGAATGCTAGCCTCTCCCAGGAGACATGAGGGGTGCCTGCCTGGACCACAGGAAAACCCCTCTCTATCTGTTAATGGCTAAGTCTCTTTAAAAACCACGTGTCTTCAGGTAATTATGGAAGATCTTGTGCTGCTGTAGTAGAAAATTAGGACAGAGAATGTGACACAAAATTGGGCAATGAGGAACAAAACAGGCCCTTTCTAGGGGTGGGGGTGGTGTGCTATTTAGGGATTGCTCTCTTCACTGACTTCTGCTTTTGTTTTTATTTTTTTTCCTTGCCTGTCACACATACAAGATTCAGAATTTGTATGTTTGCTCATTTTCCAACCAAATATCCATGGAATTTATACAGATTAGAGAAACCCTCACTTTGAGAGATGGGGGAAATGGGGGGGGGGTTGCTTATTATATAAAATATTGTCAACAAAAATCTCAAATTGGACCTCAATAAAAACACTCCAGGAAAATAAAATATGTTTTGGATCTGGATACATTCTGAACATTTTCTGTTAGTCCTGATGCCATCATTTTCTGTAGCGTTTTCTCTTTGCTTTGAGCCTGCCCGGCCAGCTTGGCACTTCCATGGCCAAACCTGGCAATGCAGTTCTTCATGTGTGCGATCTGGTCCTGCTCCCAGTGAAACCTCTTCATCTGGTTCTCCTCCAGCTCCAGCCGCGTCTTCACATACTGATCATAGTTACCCGTGTAATACTTCAGTTTCTTATTGTGCATGTGGATGATATTGGTACAGACTCCATTCAGAAAGTCCTGGGAATGTGACACAAGGACCAGGATGTGCTTGAAAGTCTTAAGTTCCTCTTCCAGCCACACGCAAGCATCCAGGTCCAGGTGGTTGGTAGGTTCATCCAGAAGCAGCATGAATAAAGAGGGCTCTGGCAAGAGCAACTCTCATCCGCCAGCCACCACTGAAGTCTTTCAGCTTCTTGCGCTGCATGGCAGGTGTGAAACCCAATCCATGTAAAATCCTTGAGGCCCTCATCTCTGCTTTGTCTGCGTCCAGCTCTTCCAGCCGCTCATAGAGTTCCATGAGCTTCTCACACTCAGCATCCTCATGAGCTAAGTGCTCGCCCTCCCTCTCCAGCATGGCCCGCTCTGTGTCCACCTCCATTACACATTGCAAGGGTGTTTTTTCACTAGGAGGCATCTCACGAGTCAGATAGCAGATGTCTATGTGCCCAGGGATGGGCACTTCACGTTTCCCAATAGCAGAGAGCACATGGATTTTCCAATTCCATTTAAGCCAATGAGACCATAACGACGGCCTGAGTTGAGTTCCAGTTTGGTGTCACTGAGCAGCTCTTGGCCGTGAAAGGTCAGTGAAAGGTTGATGATGTGGACTTCAGTACTTTTGGGGTGAGAAGCCAGGACGCCGGTGACAGCTCGAGCAGCAGCTTTCTTCATCTCAAAGTCCTCTAGCTCCTTGGCCAACAAATCAAATTCTGTGGTCTCTCTGCCACTGGTCTCCTCATTTTTCTCCTCTGCCACCTGAGGTTCTGTGACAGTGTCTCCATTTTCTTCGTGTCCCTTCCTGGGCCGCTGTCGAGCTTTGGCAGCTTCCTTCTTTTTGGCTGCTTTTTTCTTGGCCAGGTCGGAGGGCATGGTGATGAGCCACAGGGGGGTAGTTACTGTTCTTTCCGAGTGGGGCCTCGCCGCTCGGCCACTGTCGCAACCCATTTTGAACATTTTCGATCATACTTCGACTTTTGCTATGCTCTCATAGTTGTGCAGGTATCATGGCATGGATATCAAAGTATTTTGAGAATATTGACATGATTGGTAAATACTAGCAGATCCTAAGGAAAAAAAGGTATTCACATGGTTTCAAGATATGCTACTGCATTTAAAGTTTTATTTTTAGAAGGTCATTGCTTTTTTAGCCTGAACATACCTCTTTAAAATGTTATGGCTTTATTTGAATTTCACCTTTATAGTACGTAGACTCTTATTATCAGAGGGTTATTTTTCAAGTTTTTGAAATATATTTATAGTTCAGTGTTTTTTACTTTAAGTCAATGACTTTTCATTATTTCAGCTAATTATTTTATAACATTTTCCCAGAAACTTTATCTGTAGTTACCTCTACAATCAATTTAGACTTATTTTCTCTAAATGTAAGTGAACAGAATGGAATTCAATTACATTAAGCAATGTAGTATCCTGCCACTCATGGGGTTTTTCACTTCAATGTGTGCCAATGTCGTTTGATTAGTATTGTTTTGTAGTAGTTACATACTATACTGTTCATATTAAATGTATATTTATTAAATGTTGTGTTTTTAATAGCACATTTACTCATTTCAATTCTTTTTTATTTAGAAGACATGCTTTTTTTATTTTTTCAAGACAGGATTTCTCTATGTAGCCCAGGATGTCCTGGATCTTGCTTTATAGACCCAACTGGTTTCAAATTCACAGAGATCCACCTGCCTCTGCCTTCCAAGTGCTGGGATTAAAGGTGTGGGCCACCATACCCAGCTTATATGGGCAGGGGGTGGGGTAGGTCTGTGTGGGGGCATCTCTTCTCTGTCCATGCTGCTACATGTCAGATGATTAATGGAAACAACAGTGACGGTCTGCTGTGCTGCTTAGGTTAAAAGCAGGGCCTTCTTTATTGAATGCTGCAACTGTCAAGGGGGAGGCTCACCTCACTGGGTTTGTTGCAGGCAGTAAGTGGCAGGGAATAGGTGGTATCTCTCCACAAATCACAGTGCCAAATGACTGATGAATAGTGGGGACAGCTCCTCCCATGCTCACAACTTCAGAGCTGCTGTCTCACCCATAACTCTGCCAACAGGGTTGACTCTATTGTGTTGCCCAGGTGAGGTGCAGGGCCTGCTCTCCCAAGTGTTGTAGCTGGTGGGGGAGAGGGGTCAGGGGTGACTCTTCCATTATTGTGACCTCAGTGGCAGAACTTTGTCTCTCTGTTATGTGGGAAGCCAGATGCCATATCATAATAAGGATATTCATATATCCTCATGGAGATGTCTATGTGGTGAGGAGTTGTGAACTAATTCCATCAGCCAACACTAAGTTGTCAGGCATGTTAATAAGTTCTTCACATGCCACATTTCTGCAGACATCTCGACTGCACATTCATGAGACTAAGGAGACCCTCTGCCAGAAACACTGAGAAGCCACTTCCAAATGCTCCACACACAAATCAAGGACTATTGAGTGTTTTTCTTTTGTAAGTTGTTGAGTTTTGGGGTGGTTTGTTATTCAAAAAATAAATAATAATTTATATAACTCACCTGTTCAGATTAAATTTTGTGCAGAAGAATTTACCTTATATTTAAATGGGTTATACTTATTGAATTAAGTTTTATATAGAAAATTGTTAAGTTTACTTTTTATGTAGAAAATGTCTCAGGTCTACCAATAGACTCTTAACTTCTTCAATCTGTTTCTGAATAACAATAACAATGTCATTTACAAAGGTGACATTATTGCTTAAAATTTCATTATGTTTTATGTGATGATAGATTTAAAGCACAAATACTACTCTGATGTTCAGGAAATGTGGTCTGCATTTTCATGTTATTTTAACCATTATATCATGAATATTTCTATACAATTTTTATAAAAAGATACTGAATGCCTTCTTTACTCTTATGGGTCCCACTTGATCTATAAATTATTTTACCTTTCTTTTTCTTGGGTTAGGCCCGGATCAAGCTCTGTATTATATATTAGAAAAATTGGGATCGTCTTCTTTGTACTATGTTCAGTAGAACATATGTATTCCTGCTGAAATGGATTATTGCTTTAGAATCATCTGCACTTGAGTCCCAGTAAAGAATCATGCATTGCAAAATGCCAAGAAACTAACTAAAGCCACTAACAATAAATGCCATGGGTAGCATTTTGACCATTAAAAAAAAACTTGTTTTTGTAAAGCTATACTGAAGGCAGTGGCCTGAGTAAAAAGAATAATTTGGTGTGGTCTAGCATGGAAAGCTCTTTTTCTGTTCACTTTGGCTCTTCTTGTAGTTGAAGAGAGTGTACAGGGAAATACCGAGCTGCTTCATGCAGCCATCTTCATCGTTGATACAACAGACTCAATATGCATCATGGGAAAGGGCCAAGAAGCTGCAAATGTCTGCAATGTCTTTCTTTTCTCCCAGGAAATGCACCCCAAGGGCTGACTCCTGAACATTTCTACTCCACACTCCACAGCACAGTCTCTCTCTCTCTCTCTCTCTCTCTCTCTCTCTCTCTCTCTCTCTCTCTCTCTCTCTCTCTCTGTGTGTGTGTGTGTTGAGTGGAAGCTAATCTATGTTGCAGAATATTCAAGTACAACTGCCTATTATGAATAATGAAACACCAATAAAACAGAACTGATGTGACAGCTGTCTAGTGAGATGAAGGTTAAAGGGTATCAAACTGTGCTAGACATCTCTATTTGCTGGTGTTAAATTATTCTGTCTGCCCCAAGCACTCTTCCCATAAAAAGCTGATGTACTGTTGTTGACAGGCAATTTGTGAAAGCTTAACGTAGCACGAGCTCCATGCCTATGTGTGTGGGATGTGAACTGCATGTCAATAACAACACTATAGTAAACTGCAAGTTACAACAATTCAAACAGTTCCTTCTTCCATTTGCCCTCTTACTCAGACTGCATGGGCTTTATCCAGTAAAACATGACTTGATATATTGTTGGTTGACAAAGCAAACAGCTTATTGTACAGATGTGAAGAAACAGACTTTTCCTGCGATGGTTTTGTTTCATTGCTTGAACCATACTGGATGGGAGAAAGACTTCGAATACCTATTTTCTCTAGCACCAAAGGGAAGAACACTCACCCTGTGAGCTAATTAGGTCCAAATGAGGTTGCGTTTAGTTTATTGATCAACACATATTTTTTGAGCCTCAATAATACTTAAAATGCTATGACATTTTGTTTTCTGTGTGTGCACGTGTGTGTGTGTGTGCGCTACATGTTATTTTCCTTTGTTATAAAGTAATAAGCCATTTTCTTTTGTATGGAGAATACATATTATAAATCTAAATGTTATAAGTAGTATAAGTGGGGAAATTTAAGATGATATATACGCATAGGTGTCGAGGGGAAAGGAAACTTGCAGCCTTTAATATTGCAGCTTATTAATATAAAATGTTACTGTTTTGTTTTTATTAAAAATTTATTCTCTGTCAAGTTAATGCATGCACATGAAGTATCCTGATGTGTGTATGGGAATCATAAACCTTTTGTGGTTTGAGAGACAACAAAGTGCCAATTGATGCAGTGTGTAGTAGCAGACTTTGTAATTACGATGGCCTCTGTTGGAAATGATGACTCAAATCAACAAGCGGTGGTGCACGCCTCCAGGAAGAGTCCTGAGAGCAATTCCCAGACCGCCTGATTAATAGAGCTACATGGGGAGTTTTGAAAAATCTGATACTTGGGATACCCTCAAAACCAATAGAAACAGAACCTCTGGAGGTGAGACCCACACACCACCATTATTTAAAGCTCCCAAGTTACCCCATCATGAGGCTATCTAAAAGCCCTCTGGGTTACAGGGTTCAAGGATTTCCTCAAATTCCTTAAAGGTCATCCAGATGCAAGTCAACTCCACCATTTTCAGAGAGGAGGAAACACATCATTTTTTTTTTTGGTGTGTGTGTGTATGTATATTTATTTTTCCCCATTATTTTAGTTACTTCTCTGTTGCTGTAATAAAACAAACACCGAACAAAACTGTCTTAAAGAAGGCTAGTTTCCTTTGGCTCACAGTTTGAAGGTCCAGTCAATCATGGCTAGGAAGGCATGTTGGCAGGAACATGAGGCTGCTCTATGCTTTTCGTATTGAGAAAGTTTCGAGGGATGAATGCTGATTTCCACCTTGATTTCTTTTGCTTTTTTATCGTTTCCTTACCTATGAAAGTGCACAAGTCTTGAATGTAGTGTAAGAAAATTTTGGCAAGGCATAATCCATATAACCAGCAATAGCTGAAATACAGAGCACTTCTATCAACACCGAATATTCCCTGGAGTTCCTATTCATTCTCTGACACTCTCTATTGAGAAAAAAATAAATCTACTTTTTTCCAGTTTTTTACATCTTTGAGAATTTTGTACAATGTATTTTTAAATCATATTTACCTCCTTTCTTAATTCCTTCATGACAAACAAGTAAAAAAATGAAGAAAGAAACATCAAGTCCAATTTTTGCTGCCCATGTAACCATATATTCTTGGATGCATAGCATTCCACTTTAGCTTGTCCGACTTACCAAGGATTATATTCTTAAAGACAACCAGCCTTGCTTCCATAAGCTAACAATTGTCAATAGCTTCTTGTTTAGGAGTAGGACTGCATTCCTATCTCCTCTGTCCATGGTGGAATTTGGTTCAGATTGAGCTTGCATAGATCTTATGAATGCTATCACAGCCGCTGTGTATTCATATGTGCAGTGTGTTTCTTTGTCAAAAGAACATTATTCTCTTATAGTCCCTCACTGCCTTTTGCTCTTACATTATTTCTGTTTCCTCTTCTGCAATGATCCTAGAACTCTGGAAGGAGGGAGTGTGAAACAGATGCCCATTGAAGGCCAAGCATTCTACATTCTCTAATTCCACATTTCCAGTTGTGAGTCACAGAGTTGGTTACTATCTGCTATAAGTAGAAGCTCCTCTCAGAGAGAAAGAGAAAGAGAAAG